TCGGCGACGTCGTGTCCTTGCCGTCGAGATAGTCCCGAGAAAATGAAAGAGAGAGAGAGAGAGAGAGAGATCGGACGGACGTGGACGGGCGGAAGGGAAAAAAAGACGTAATTTAAGGGGTCCTCCTCTATCTGCAGTTTACGTGTTTTCCTCGACGCCCCGATCCTTCTTTTTTTACAGCACTTTTCGACAGACAGGCTTTTTCTTAAAAGAGATAAAAAAAAAAATCAACGTTTGCCCGCATGATAAAAAAAAAATATACACGCCTGCTACCACTCATTCACTCTACCTACACCAGTAGCTCAATCAGTCTTCTCTATACCACTCGCGAAGAGACACACATTACACACTAGAGGCTAAATAAATTAAACGAGCACATCGTTTGCATTGAGCGAGAGCCACTCTTTTAACGTGGTCTTAAAACCCGTCCGAGGCACCGGTGCGAGGGAGTAAAACAGCCCTCGTAATATAGATTCGGGGCATAGCACGCCAGCGCAGAGGCCTCGGCTTGTGCGCGGCCGCAAATTAGCCCGACAATCTCACGGCAACGTCGGCGACAACGACACCCCAACGGACCCACATTTTTCTCGAGGCCCATACCTGCTACACGAAAGAGGGCTACATGCACTGGTACGTATATATCGGGGGGTGTCGGCGATAGCTCGGTCATGCTCGTTAGATGAATGGGGCCGGTAGAGGAGGGGGGGGGGGAGCGGGGGAAGGACGCAGACTTTCGCGGGCGGCAAAAGCGTAAAGCAGCGGGGGGTGGCGCTATATGCTCGGCTCGTTGCTAGTTTGCATAAATTTAGGAAATACAGGCTGGCCCGCTCAAAATCGATATCCGCATAGAGATTATAGATGGTGGTCGGTAGGCGCCGCGTAGCCGCAGCCTCCGACGTCGCGACGCCGGCGCTCCCGCGTGTATGTAGGTATATGGTGGTACATGTGTGTGGGTGTGTGTGTGTACGTACAGTCGCGGCAAGTACGTCGTCGCGCGTTATATACACGTAGCCACGTCGTGTCTGCCGCCACGGCTACCACCACTACTTGCGGCATGCAGCTTTCGCTCCCTCCCTACACACTGTATACACACACACGTGGTATATACCTTTGTATGCGTGTACGGGCATCGGGGTGTGTTGTAACTCGATGTGTAGCTCGTTTCTCTTACACTCCGCTGCTGTTACTACTGCAGGTCGCCATCCCCTCCTCCCCCTCTTTGAACCCACCCGACGGGTAGGTACGAAATATACACGGCGACGAACTACTCGGCTGCGCTTGCTGGAGGAGGCCAGATAAAGTACGGAGGTATAGGGTTATGCATGCTCGCGCGTGCGATAATACCACCCACCAGGCAGTCGTTGCGTGTGTATTGTGTACTCGCTCGCGCGCGTTCTTTCTTCAATTGCTATGTGAAAGTGATAAGCGTCGTTTAATTTTCAAGCGAGGCTCACACTTTTTCAAAGTTTTTTTTTTTATAAGTTTGAAAGTATGATGAAAATACTTAATAATGCGCTTACGGTGGCAACACCGATGTTTCAATGAGAAAATCTACCCCCGCGAATAGGCCCAAAGTCGGATAAGGGTCGGACGTTGTACACGCGTGAACGTGAAAATTTTTGTTCTCCGAGTCCCCGAGGGGGATTAAATATAGAGTCGTCGTGGGGGTATCAAGCATTTATCAAGCTCGAATTTGCTTATCCGCGCGTTCAGCGGCCGTACAGGGTGGGGATAACGCGCGTGTCGCCGTAACTTTGCTAATCCTTTCGCGGACCACTGGTCGCGCTCCGCAGCCTATACGGTTTCCCTCTTTTTGCCCACAGCTGAAATGTTTTTTAATTCAATTCCCGGGGCTTTCTCAACCTCATCCCCGAGCCGTCTCGAGTTTTTTTTTTTTTTTTTTTTTTTGTTGTTGTTGTTGTTCGATGGTTTTTAATTAAAAAACAAGCAAAACAAAAAAATGCCATTTCGTCTGGTCTCCTGTAAGGACTTGTTCGTTCCTCCGCCACGTATATTTTTTCCCGGCGACATTCCTGCAATTTCTCTCCCGACAGCAGCCCAGGGGCCTCCGAACGGGAGTACAGTCGTTTCCGTCGTGCGCCGGAATTAAAGCAGTCGATATCATTCGTACGGGCTGTCTCGAAATTAAGGAAAGGTACGGGGAAGAGGGAAGCCCCACCCCGAGGCACGTTTCCACTTCCCTTTTTCCCCACTCAACAAATGCTGATTTTACGCTGTAACTCGTCCCTTTTTAATTCGATCTGTTTATTTTTACGATTAATCACCCCATCAGATTTTTTTCATTCCCATACCGATTTTTCGCTCGGGTTTTTATCATTGGTGCAGCTTGAAAAAAAAAATGGGTTGTCGAACGGAAGACGTCGATACGTTATGCAAACCGCGATAGGTGTTTCCAAAGTTTTGGAAAAAAAAAAAGATAGTGGCCAAGGGACAATGGAAAACTCGGCTCCCGTTGCCAAATTCGCGCCGCCTCCTGGACTACTGGGCTATACGAGCTTTTGCACCTCCTCGAAACTTGTGCTTAGCTCTTCGGGATGATCCCGCCTCGAGAGGGAGAAAAAGAAAGAAAAATGAAAAACACCGCAAAAGAGAGAACTCGAGTGCAAGATCGTCGTTTTTCCGGGCGCTCGGTTATCGCGATCGGGAGCATTGGAGCGCAGCGGGATATGCACCGATTGACAGATTTCATAGGCCCGGAGTCACGCGCGCGCAGCCGAGCCACCAGGGGAGCGAGGAAATCGCTGCGGTGGGAGGAAAAACCGTCGCTGCAATTGACGAGGGGGTGGTGGGGGGGATAGGTGAAATTCTGATGGCTACCCAGCCTCCTGCTTCGGTGGGGGGAAAATTACGATCGTCGTCGTTCTTTTCTTCCATTCGAGGTACAGGGACGGGGGTTCGGGTTCGCGGGATGATGTCGAGCGTGAAGCTCGTGCAGGCGCTATGAATTTGTTATTTTGCGTGTGCGTATGCGCTCATGGGCAATTTGACTCGCCTAGATCGTCCGGCGTTTTGGCGTTTATTTTTGTTCCGCACTTATTTATAGATGTTTTTTTTTTTTTTTTTTTCTTCAACCCTTTTTAACATCAATTGGCTGAAAACTAGTTATAAATCGTATGTAATGAGGCACACTCTTGAATCAAGGCTCATTTTACTCGTAATGTCCTGGACTATGAAGAAAAAATATTTAACTCGGGTTTTAGTAAGGGTGACACCTTTTTTCTATATAAATACAATAACAGCATGTAAATCGCGAAAAAACAGTGACATCTTTACTGAAACCTGTGTTCAAATTTTGTTTCTTCATATTAAATGTTATTAAAAGTAAAATGAGCCCCATCTCGAAGGTGTGCATCAAAAAAATTTTTTAAATTAAAATAGGGGACAAAATGAGATATTTTTTGTGGATTTTCTCATACAGCAAATATGCCATGGAGCAAAATCTGCGGGGAAAGATCGGTGAGCAGCAGCGCCATGCATACATACAAGACGAATTCGCAAAAAAGTGGTGGAAAAAATTCAAAGGCCCGAGCGTCGCGAGCGATAAATCGCTGGGGCCCTAATCTCCAAATCATATCGCACCCTCGCGCGAATATAAACGGTTTTCCGATAAACCCCGTGTACGTACGGTCCGCGCGGGCGAAAAGGTACAAGGGCTGGCTCCGTGTCCCGGTAAATCAGATCGAGAGTCGGGAGGGGAGAGCAAAGGATAAAGGGCACGAAAAATGAAAGATCGACGTGTGCGCGGGTATTATCGGATAATCGCCCTACCTGTCCGCGGGTCCATTTCGCTAAATACTGCGGCGTCCCGAGATTAAATTATCGATCGCTCCCTCCCCCGGGAAGCTGTGAGTATTTTGGCACAAGAAAAAAATTACTTGAATGGTTTACAGTGGAAAAAATTGTAGCGCACCCTGGCCCCGAATCTAACTCTTCTTCTCGATTAAAAACGTTCCGTACACTCTGTACGCGCGTACGGTACAGCTTGTTTCTGCACACACAAATTTTATCGTCAAAATAAGAACAATGGCTTCGCGAAGAGTTATATAAACGCTTGGCGTTATTTATCGGCACTCGGTGAACAATGCAAATTTCAAATTCACCGAATATAATTACCCGGGGCGCGCAGCTTTGTCCCTCGGCATAATAGAAAAGGTGATTTACCATTTTCCGAAATGGCACTCTTGGGCGTGCTTTAAATACACTTAGCTACGGTAAAAAAAAAAAAAAATGCGGAAGCACACCGGAAAAAGCTCCGGGGGCTCGCGCATCGAAACGTCGGGTGCATGTATAATTCAGCGCGAAGAGACACGGATCCGAAGCAAAACAAGATCCGATTCATCATCCCGCGGAGCGGGAACAAATATAGCTCCCTGCTCGCACGTGTCTTTGGACGCGAACCTGTTACTCCTGACTAATTGCCCACTGGGACTTTCACCGACAAATTTTTAATAAACCTCCGGGCATTAATTGCTTCTAAAAAAAAGCTCCCCTCTCCCCTCTAATGGGTTGCGTTAATAGGACAGCTGATGGATCTCGCGGGAACTTGCGAGCGAGCGGCGCAGCGGTGGAAGGGGGGGCGCCTCGACGCGCTTAAATCAGAACGAGAACCACTGCCGAGGGGTGGGGTAGGACGTCACGAGGTCGTTTAGCGCCGAAAATAGTTTCTTCGAACCTCATTATTTTTTACTCTCGGGAGTAAAATTTCTCGACGCTCGCTCGCTTAGGTGTATACACCCTACTTGCTATTTTTTCTCTTCGGCGATATGAAATCAAAATTTTCACCGATAAAACTGCTCTTGTGTAAAACGTCGTCTATGCGCAATGATTCTTTGGGCATGAGAAAAAGCTCTCTACACTTTCTCAGTATAGGATAGAGACGCCTCGAGTGTATGTAGGTGAGCCGCGCAAAGGGTAGAAGAAAAGAAAGAGGTGGGTATATATTTATATGTATATGTACAAAAGAAGAGAAAAGCTCTTACCTGGAGTTCCTCCTTGCACTGGCGCTCCTCTTCGAGGCTCATCCGTTTCTCGTGCTTCTTGTAGTATCGCCTCTTGGCCGCCTGTAGGTTGAACCACGTGTACGAGAAAGATTTCACGAACGGTAGAAGAGCCTCAATGAACGGATGGAACTCATCCTGCAACCGAGAGAGAGAGGGGGAGGGAAAAAAAATGTAGCAAACGATAGAGAGGACGACTCTCGGGACGAGAGCTTTGTTCCTACTCTCCCCAATATCATCCCTCCGCTTCATTTTCCACGACTGCCATTAACACTCGTTCCCTTCACGCCCTTCCGCTCATTTTTCGAACTGCCCCCGAACAATGGGAACTTGTCCCCTCCGCCCCGTCCTTTTCCTCCTTACGACATGTACCCTAGTCACTCACTGCTCTTCTCCGTTAATTTAGCAAAAAAAATAAACCACGGAAACGTTTAGTCCACGCGCGCAGCCCCTCCTACCCCCCTTTTTTTTCTTAGATTTCCCGACTCTATAGTGAAAAAAAAAAAGAAAAAGAAAATGATGACACCGAGATTAAAATGCGCTAGGAGAGGGAAAGGAAGTGATGAGCGCGAAAACCCGTCCATCTCGGCGATTGCCTCCCTTTTCTCTCGTTTGCATTTTTCATACGATGTTTCTTCCCAAAGTTAATGCACCGAGCTTCCACATTGTGTTGAATTTTTCCCAAAAAAAAAAAAAAAAAAAAAAAAACACGTCCATTGTTTTTATTTTCCACTCGAGCACTTTTTCGACCTGCACCTCGGTGTACGCGACGTTCCCCTTGTTTGTTTGTTTTTTCACCACTGGCGAAAGCTGTATCGCTATTTTAAAACGAAGTAACCATTCAGACGCCCCGACTGTCATCGGCATCCCGGCGATAAATCGTCTAACGTCCAGTGCAGCAGCGCGAGTCTCACGAAATATTAAAATAAGAAGCTCCGCTCATCTGCACGCAAAGTCCTTGTTGTCACCCATTGATTATCCATCATCATTGTCATTATTATTATTTTTAATTCTTCGAACGCGTCATTAATCACATCTTTTGGTGCAACATCTCGCGGTGTAATGTTGCCAGGAGCATTTCAGCGTCGCACCTGCCATCGTGTAACTCGTGAAAAATGACGGTTTCGCGGAGCGTGTCGGTGTCTACTGGCGTCATCATCATCATCATCACAGCTACGGGAGGAGGGAGGAAGGAGCCTCGTATGTGCCCACGTATAATTTAAAAGTTTTTATTCAAAGGGTAAACGCGTAAACAAGCAAGTAAACATGCACTGTGGTGGGGAGGGGACCGGGAGGGAAAAATTGCTGCACCAGAAGAAGGCAGATAATGAAACACGCCACGAGAGGGGAGGGGGGATGGAAAGAGGCGAGTGGCGAGCCTATAGGTAGAGCGGGCCGATATTACGAAACGCGTCAGCGTCGCAAGCAAGTAAGCTAGAGATGGAGAGAGAGAAGTGGGACTCGAAATAGCCGAGTCAGGCCGAAAGCTCTATCCCGCACGTACAACCTACTCGGCTGCCGGGCGCGCGAACGAGATATTTCCGTATATACTCCACAAGAGGAGCGTGGCTCTCTCTCCGTCCCTCGCGCTCTGTACGACTGTTTGCCGATCGCAGCAGATAGATTTCTCTGGCTCCCTTTTTTTTATTTCGTTTCCACGAGCCGTTGTAGGGATGGGGAGCAGCTGATCGATATCGCGCGAGTGCAGGGCCATGCCCGAGTGTCTGCACCGGAACACTACCCTCCTCCCTGCCTCTTGGTTTGGGAGAGACTCGATCCAGAGAGGGAGAAAAGGGCTTTTAATGCTGAGCAGCAGTTGTACGGTTGCTGAAATTCGCGGCTCGTTTTGCATTTTTCGGGGACGCGGTGTGTTTGCGCGGGATTTTTTCGGCTCATACCCGGGGTTTTTAAGACCTCAGATTTGAATAAAGTAATCGTCGGCTCTCCAATCGATGAGAGATAATCGGACAATGAAACGTGTTGTGCTGCATAAAGTGTATTGGGTTCCATCGACGCGTCTCTTCTGCAAGCTCGTGTGCGTTCATTTTTATTTTATTTGACAACCTTTAGTGCAAAAAGTTAGAAAATAATTTAAAAACAATTGGTTAATGCACATTAATTTTTAAGAGACAATGGGTTCAAATTTAAATTAAAGCTGTCATGAAAATCCAATTGATGTACGTCTTATTTTTGTATTGATTTAATTGTGTTATCAAGTCTGGGGTAAGAACAGCGAAGCTTAGCATTTATTTATTATTTTTCAAACGTATCGAGCAATACGATCTCAGTTATGGTGTTGGGCGAATGACCAAAGAGGACAGTTATTTCGCGTAAAAATATGACAAGTACAGGCAGTGGAGATATACATCTCGTGTAGGCCTCGGTATATCACGCCGATAGGATATGATTTTTATCAATGGGCCAAGATAGAGTCCGTACGCGTATGGGGAGTATAACCCCTTTTTCCCTTGAGCCCAACCCCTCCTCCTTCACCTTTTTCCCATTCAACCGCCTCTTATTATATCCTCCCTATTTTCGTCGGTTATTTATGTGGCTCTTTATCATGCGGTACATACTTTGAAATTGCGCGACGTTTTATCGCTTGCTCCATCTCTTCGGAGCATCTGCCTACATGTCCCATCGAAATTTCAATGCCCAACGTAATTATATACCCCGTGCCTTCTGTTTCTGCTTATATTTAGAAATCGCGAAAATCACGTTCAGTTGAGATTATTTGTCAAGCGGGCAAAAGTTCATTCGATTCTTTCGAGGGAAGCTCGAAAGTTGTCTTCCGAATAAAACCAATTGGTACAAATGTTGGATGCCGTAGTGTGCAGTTTAAGAATTTTAAGGCTTAACAAAAGTTTAGTTTCACTACATGAAATTTCTTGTCTACAATACTGATTTCATTTGCATTTTTTCGGTCGATTACTTGAGTTTGAGTACCACCTGGTTTGATAGAACTATTTGCTATAGGAGGTCAACAGCGGAGTAGTGGACAATAAGTAAATATTAAGGTGAACAAAAAAAAATACAAATTATTCCATGAGGATAAAGCAAACAATAGAAAAATGAATCAACAAATGTTTATCATAAATTAAGTCGTTATTTCCTAATTTAATCTTATAGAGAGAACGATTCATTTTTGGACTCTAATACCGTTTTGTGTCAAACATCGTGTAAAATTTTCGTAAAAACTTAATAGCAGTGGCTTGTGTTTTCACTGCGTTTTCCAACATTTTACTATCAGTATTGGTCGTTGCTCATGGCCATAAAGCGAATCTTTACACAACCCTATTTCAGTGTTATTTTCAAGGTTCGAATCTACAGCAGTTGCCGCCTTGAAGCTCATACAACTTCCCACTTGAACTAACGAGCCAAGCTGCGCGAGTAAGAAAGTTTTAAGGATAAGTATGTAATGTCTATTCGCGCGTGCCTTTATAACGAACGTTCTACTCGTATTTATTAGTATAAAGCTAAACATGTCGCGTTTGCCAGTGACTAAATCAGCCAGAATTTAAAAAACACTCCCCAATGTGAAACTGTTAAAAATCTCAACGAAAGTCAAGATAACGTAATTCATTGAAAGATCATCTGTACCGAAAAAACAATAGAAATAAACCGAGATGAGACGAACCATCGAGTACTCGTGCGCACCGGGCTGTCTCTCCTATCTCGGCACACCAGCTCCCCGCGAGGAGCTGCAGCTGCTTCCCTGAGCTACCCTCCTGTCAGAGCCCACCGACCGGACCTCTGCTGCTACTGCCGCTGCTGCTACTCTCGTCGTCGTCGTCTTCGTCGATCCCACCTCGGGCTCTCGGCCTCATCTGTACAGATCAGTTTCTTTTCCGAGCCGCACTTTTTTTTTCTTCTCCTCTTCCTTTAGTTTTCAATACTCAACGGCGCACCAATCACTTATCATTTGTGTATACCCTTTTGTCACTTGTTCCGTATACTCTGTTGGTAATCACGACGCTTGATTCTTTACGAGGTTCACTCGGTGCATCGCAACGATTTACTCCTGACACTAATGGGACACATGTACTCCAAAAATACTATAAATCAAGAAGCTGTGTTATTTAATCGGACGCGATCCCTTTTACTGAAAGCTCTCCTGGTCTCTCGCTCTGTTTTTTTTTTTTTTGTTGACAGTATAGCGATCCACTGATTCACGCGCGAGGCACTGCTATTATTTCCAAGCGTATACAGTAAGCATATCGCACCCCAAAGCATGAGTTTGGAAAAAAAAACCACGCATAACAGAAGGTTCCCTGCACTTCCCCTCAAACTTATCCTTGCCTTGTGGAAGTTTTTGCAGTAGGATTTGAAGAATGGCAGGGCCAACTTTGCCTTTTTGCATGGGAGACGGAGGGGGGGGGGTGCAAGAAATCAGAGGACACGGAGGATTAATGGGTCACGCTTTAGCCGCGAAAGGGCGAGTTCTTATTTGCTCTTTGCGCTCCGAAAGTTTTTTTTTCCGCTCCCCCGCGTAATTTACTAAGGACGTTAATTTCGCCTTTAAAACTCGGTCGAAGTGATTTTTCTCGGGGATCGATCGTCCGTGGAAAAAAAAAAAAAACTTTTAACAAACACTCGTGCGAACGAGTTTTTAAAACATCACCAGAGCTAAGTAAACTTCTCTGAAAAAATCACTTTTGAGTATGACGAACGGCGATATCCAGCCCGGGCTTGTTTACGCGCAAGCACATACCCCGCGTTGACACCTATAACAACTCGACTGCGCAGCGCGAAAAAAACAACTTTCCTCCTCTACCGATCACCTCCCAAATTAATGACGACGAGACAATCGGCAATAACTCGGACTTGAGTAGATGTGCATGGTTACCCCTCGATTAGGGCAACCGGGGAAAATGCTTTCTCACCCCTTGGGCTACTAGTAACCCCAGGGATGGGCGCAAACTTTTGAAACTCGATAATTTCTTTTAAAAGGAGGAAAAGTTGACTCCGGGGCCTTGGTTGGTTTTTCCGCTCGTCCCGCCCGTGAATCAAAACGCGCCACGAAAGTTGAGCGCGCGAGGATTATTTTTCACTTCTTTTTAATTTTCGCGCGGGAAGAAGAGCCGAGGAGAGCCGGAACGGAGTACGGTGGCTTAGGAGTGCAGCCGGGATTTTTCGGACTCGCGAAAGCTCTTCTGGTAATGAAGGACACCTACTACAGTGAAAACAATTTAATCCAAAGTGTACAATTACTATAGAGCATTATCGTACAACATCGAGATCTTTTTTTTTTCGACCGATTGATGTATTCACAAATATGCCCCGCAATTCCCATCATACCTAACAATAGCCCATTTGGTTTGAGTGACGCGAGAAAGAGAAAAACAATCGGATTTTTGGTTGGCGATGGAATCCGCTCGGTTTATTTTAAGTCCCCCCCCCCCCCTACGAGGAACGAAAAGAAGAAACAAAAAACCCTCCTCCCCAGCCACGCACTGTTTGTTTCGTTCGACGACACTTTCCTCAAGCGCATTACAGCTCATTTGCGAGAGGATTGTAATTATACCGATTCGAAGCGCATTTGCCACCGCTGTAGTGAGCTTTGTTTCAAACAAACCCGAACTGAGGCACTCCGCGTGTTACACAACTCATTTTTGACTAAAATACCGCACGGCTTACCTCCGGTTACCTTTTCGAGCACCGTGAGGAGGGGGGGGGGGTATTTTCACACTGGTAAAACTGTACCGCCGTTGCTCGAGTCACTTTACAAACAAACAAACGGGGGGAAAAAAAAACATACGCGTAGCGCAGCTTGCAAGCTCCTACACCAGACGGCGATCGCACTCGCGCCCGAATGATCGAGAAAACAGAGCGAGAGAGAGAGAAGGGCCGTAAATACAGCGGATCTTACCGCGACGTCGTCTCACTCGCGACAGTATATATATGTACTGCTGTGCGTGTCTAAGGGAAAAAATCTTCAGTGAAGTACAAGCGAACGAAAATCGAGAGACAGGGGGGGGGAGAAAAAAAAGGGAGATGAATAGACAGACGCGAACAACGACGTTCGAGGCAGAGGCGTCGCGACGACACTGAGACGCCTCTCTTGTCGGTGGACGGAATCGCGCGTATCTCCGCTCGGCAGAGAAAGACGGACGACGCTGGGGTAGAGAGAGAGAGACGCTTCAGCCAGGTACGGCAAGAGAGAGAGAGAGAGGCACCCCAAATGGTTATTAATAGCCACTGTCCTAGCTTGCTAGAGCTGAGCTGCTGCCCTCGAACCACGCGCCCTCCCTCTCCAACGCGTACACACATTGTATATTTATAGGCACGCGCGCGCGAGTCAAGAGAGTCAGTCTCGAGTCTCTCTCCCGAAGCTGCAGCTGAGCTTTCGCGAGCTCGCGGTGCCGCTACGCGAGAGCTGCTGTTTATGGCTTTTCCTCGCGCGCCTCCTTTCTTTTTCGAAATCCACGCCTGGCCGTAGACCTATACGCTCGGGAAATGCACTGTCGGTGGCTCCAAGGTAACCATGTAGCACGAGTCACACAATAGATTTTTAAAAAAGAAGCAACTCGTCAAGAGATTTAACGTGCGCATGTATTTAGTACACATACTTCTCTTTTCAATTGCAAGCACGGCAAGGGTAACACACGTAAAACGCACCCGCAAACAAAAACACGGCTCCGATGCACGCGATCCGAAAATAAACTACAACTCGTATCTCGGATGTTTTGCTCGAGCTTACACACGTTCATATATGTATGCCCACTCGGCACACTACACGTGATAATATTTTTACCGAGCGCTCACGCTCTCGCTCCGCTTTACAGGTGAAGAAAAAAAAAATAATAATAATAATAACGAATACTAGTCAAACTAACTGCCCATTGGGAAAATATTTAATCTTCACAAGTATAGCCGAACACATATAGAGTAGTGGTCTACTTGAAAAGAAAGGGCGAGAAATCGAGGGGGACAAGTAAGTAGTGTTTCGTAAATAAAATCTCGACCGTTCGGTTCTCTCTCGGTCAATAATGAAGGCGCGCAGAGAGAGGCCTCCCCCGAGAGACGTGCAAGACAGAGGGGGGGCTCTCCCTGTATGATTTTATATAGCTTTGGAAAGCGCGCGGGCCGTAGACTGCAGGGAAACTCGCTCGCTGATTCTCACCTCGTTCCCGGGCGCCTCTCAAGGGGAATAATAAAATCAAGAGGAGCACTCGCCCATAGGCACTGGCCTTTCTCCCTGGTTCCTCGTCACTGCCCCCCCCCCGCCCCTCACGCTCTGTCTCTCTCGATAAAAGAAAAGCTCGGCTGTTTCCGTTTCTTCGCCTAACGAATTCAAATCACATCCTGTGGACACTTCGAATTAACTGCATCCCTCCTCTCTCTCGACTGTTTTCACACTTGTGAAAATATTGGACGGAGGGACGTGCGAGCCGAGTAAATTTTCTCCTCAAATACTTGCTTCTCGTTATTATATGTTAACTTATGAAATCCAAGGCTCGATAACGTACACTTTGTCTGTTGGGCCAGTTCGTTAAGCTTTTGCAGTTGTCGATTGCAGGTTTCGAGCATATTAATTTTTCGTCGTGTCGATTTTTATTTTCACGTGATACCTTTTTTTTTTTATTTACCTTTTTACCTGTAGGTGACAAAAAAAAGAAAAAAAAAAAGTAAGTAAAAAAAGTAAATAAAAAAAATATATAAGTCAAGCTTTTCGCGTTGAATGTACCAGTCAATAAACAAGAAATCAAGCCGTTCGCGCGCTGTACCCGAGATTTTGTCACCTCACAGAGAGGGAGAAGGGAAAAAAAAAGGAGAGCTTGCGACCGCCGCGTACTATCGTTACCCACGCGTATACTATCTCGATCTCGACATGCACACATGCAGAGAGCACCTCCTCCTCCTCCTTCTCGTTTTTTTTCCTCTCTCTCTTGCTCGGGTACTTCGCTTCCGCAAAAATCAATGCTAGAGCGCTCAAGGTAACGCTTTTACATCTCTTGAACGCCGTCCAAATAAAATCTGCAACAAGAAAAGCAGCAGCAGCAGCAGCAGAGCCGCCGTCGTCTCGTCGTCGTCCCGAATGCGGATTTTTGCAATGACTACTACCCCCCGTCGGTTAACCCCTCGACGAAATCTCCCCCCGCCCCTTTCCACTCTACGTACAGCGGGCCGGAATTTATTTTTCCCACTGTGTAATCTTCCCTGCGTCCTCCCCCTCCTTCTTTGCTTTTTACGTCTTGCATTGCTCTGTACGAGCTTGCAAGCTCTGCTCGTACGATTCTGTGCAAATGCGGCTCTGAAAGAGTATAAAAACAAAAAAAAGAAGTCAAGAGAGAAAAACGAAGGAAGGACAATTGGTGAGATTACGTAAAACGCTGGTCATTGAGGCGTGCTCAAACGAAGGGGTACGTCGAGGGGCAGAGGAGGGCTTATCTTTTGTTGTTGCGGGTACTTTCTTCCCTCCTTTCTTTCTTTCCTTTGCCTACTTTGCCTGTTTTGCTAACCAAATTAAAATAAATACACGAGGAAATACGGATCAATGAACAGCCGATTGTTACTTTTTATTTATTTTTTCATTGTTTTCGACTATCAAAGCAGAGCACTCGTTTTTTTATAGATACGGTTTTTTCATCATGTCGATTGGAATCAATTGTATAATAGATCCAAGGCATTTTATCGAAATGCTGTTTTTGGAAATCAAAATATCCACAACTCGAGAAGAAAAACAAAGTTACTTGTGGAGCAACGACACGAACAACGTAAACAAGTAAAGTGATTATGCCTTCGAATTTTCTCACGATACGGCAGACTCAAAGGTAATTTGCAGCGTGTCCTACGGCTTATGTCGGCAACCTAACGACGTTGTAGGTACATACTACAGGAGAAGAAAGACAAGGTGCCCGCAACAAGGTGGCAAGGGATCAATTTTTTTTACCTCATTGCATTTCATCGTGTTTTGCATGGTATACTTTTATCACATTTTCGTGAAATAAAGTGTACGCCTACAAGTGACAAATACAAGTAGATACAGCGTAGGACTGGTCAGACCGAAATAAACGATGAAAAAAAAAATGTGGATTGTTTTTGTAAAATGTGGAAAACAACATTATACAATTTATCAAACGCAAATGCACTTTTCAACTTTGGTCTGGGGAGGAAAAAGAAAGGGGGAGAAATAGCTCCGCAAGTACAAACCCCTTTTTCATTAGAGCAAGCCGCAGAAGGGAGCGAGAGAGCGCGGGACCGTAAAACTTTTTAAAATCAGCGATACGCCGGCTCTCTCACATATGTAACCCTCGGCTAAAAGCTGCCCACCCCCCGCACTCGCTCGCAAAAAGTAGCCAAAAAAAGGAAAAAAAAAAAAAAAAAAAAAAAAATACGGAAGGGGGAATAGGGAGCGGAGAAAAATTCAGTGATAACGTAGAAAAGAGAAATAGAGCGTAAGTACACGTGTACGGGTCCGCGGCGCAAGGGAGAGAGCCGAAAAGGCTGCAGTCGGCGAAAAGAGAGAGGAAAATAGACGAGGGAGGAGGAGGCGACCACGCGGCTACTGCTGTGTAAAAGGCGATCGATAGCCAAACTCGTGTCTCTCTCTCTGTCTGGCGGGACCCACGCGTATACATATATGTGTGTGTACCGATTACACGGGCTCAAGAGACGCGGAATCTCTGTGTCTGCGTGCAATTTCTCCTCGAGAGAAGGACGACTTCGCGAGTGTCTTTTGACCGGCTGCAATAATCTTTTCAGAGGCCACAGGCGCGTTTAAACGCTTGCTGCAGGGAGGAAGAGAAAAAGGACGTGTACGTATGGGTACACTGCGAGGACAGAGGGATCAGTTTTCATCCGTACACACGAGCGTCCTCTCGATGAATTTCGAAGCGCCCCCTCCCCGACAACGACAGATTGTTTGTCGATTCGGATTTTTTTTTCTCTCCTCGATGGGCTATATACGTACAGGCTACCCCTTTTTTTTTATACTGTTCTCTCGATTTTCCCTCTATTTTTTTTACCATTGGTGTTTACCCTTCCTTTTTTTCCATTTTATTAACGATCGTCGACTAGATTGGGAACAATGCCGATGGAGATATTTGATGGATTTCAGCCCCCCCTCTGTAACTTATCAGGTTTTTTCGATGTTTCGAAAAGAGAAAAGTTTATTTGGCAGCATTTGAAGATCCCGCGGGTTTGATACTAATTGTTGCCGACTATACACGTTTGGCGTATTATATGCATGCGGTCTCCCTAGCCCCCCCCCCAACGAGGGGAGGTGAGCTTTTAAATGGATGTATTCCCGCTTTGTGTTTGGTCAATGCGATTTGTGCCCCGTCCGACCGAAGCCCGCCTCTATCTACTGGAACGCATTCATTTGTACACATCGCACCCCGGGGCCCGGTTGTATGCATGGACAAAAGACCCGGGACGTCATTGTCCCCCCGTCCTCCATTGGCTATATTTTCTATTGAAAGATAATTGAAATACCCGTCCTAAGCAAAAAGAAAAAAAAAAAAGTAGCAAAATAAACAAGCGAGCAGCTGATCCCCGAGAAGGGGAATGAGGGGGAGAAAAGGGCGCGAAGACATATACCTACCAGCGTATAGTAAGTACACTGATTGCGCTTCGGGGAGGGGGGAAGAAAAGAAAAGAAGAGCAGGTACAGGAATTGCGGACGGAAGGAATAACAGACTAAGCAGGAGGGTGGGGAGGCGGAGGAGAGTCGCGCACACGCGCCGGCACTAATGACCGTTCTAAGTTTGCCCGTGAGCCGCCGCCGCGTGGAAAGACAGAGGACGACGAACTTTGGTCTCTGTGTATGTTGTCCCATATACGTATGTATACACACGCGCGAGCTTTTTGAAGACAGGTGCCGCACTCGTGGAGACCGAGAGAATATCCCCCCTTCCCCCTGAGTGTATTTAGCACCGAGGATGTGACGGTGTTTGATGCTGCCCAAGTTAATTTTGGACGATGGAAAAAAAAAAAAAGTAGGAATCGAAGGGATCCGCGATCTGGTTGGAGTAAAGTTTGATCCACGTTGTAAACGTCGAAAAGTTGGCGGGAGCGAAGAATAGAGAGAA